TCTCAGTCTTGTGGAGGTTAGAAAGTTCTGACTTGCCAAGGATTTCCAGCTGGACAAAGATTCCAACTTGAACGGAAAGCCGGTGTACCGCACCAAGGTTGGCTTAGACTAGTGTCTGAGCTTGTGGCGGCATTCTTGAGACCAGCGATCTTGTATCCATGCGAAGGACGACGGCGAGGAGTATTTCCTTTACTGGACAGTGGCTGGGACTGAAATTCTTGTGCCCTGTCCCGTTGTGCTCCATCGTAAGTGCCACAAAGATGTCGCCGGAGCGTCGGAAGCGGTGTGCTCCCACAGGAAGCTTGCCATATGGAGCCGGCGAAGGAAAGAGGCACACACACACACATATGCACATAATGCCATTCATAATCATCCATCTGTATCTGTATCTGTGTGTACACGAGCATATTTTATCAAAACAAACATAAACAGACATCCATCAACCCATCCATCTATCCGTTCATGCATATTCATAGAAATCTATACGCACATAGATGACACACCGAATACACAGATGCATCCATGAATGGAAACGCACCAGTATCCGGGAGATCGGCGTGACTTCGAAAGTGCAACTGCAATACTTGTTCAGAAGCTCTCCCAAACGGGATTTGTGTGGGGCCGCCTGTGCAGCTTGTTGCGCTGGAGATGTTTTGGCAACGTAGGTTAAGGGTACGAGGCTTGGGACGAGTTTCGCTCGGTTTGTGCGTGGCCGCGTTCTGTGTTGCGACAACGGTTGAAATTTGTTCCGCTACGGGGGCTTGGGGTTAAGACTTAGTTCAATGGCGTGTTGCGTTCGCGCGAACGACAAGTGACACTGTACGTTAACACCCGCTGTTCTGTGGTGCCGTATTGACGCATTTCCCAAAGTGTACGCCAACCCGGTCGTTTTTCATGGCAGCGAATGTTCAGTATGTACGTATGTATGTATGTATGTATGTATGTATGTATGTATGTATGTATGTATGTACGCATGTACGCATGTAATCGCATGTACGAATCCATCCATCCATCCGTCCATCCACCTATCCATCCATCCATCCATCCATCCATCCATCCATCCATCCATCCATCCATCCATCCATCCATGCATCCATGCATCTGCATGTATGTATGTCCGTTACGATTCTTTCTGCTCTTACCTTCTGTTTCATCCGAGTCTCTTCGCTGGCGGATATGCAAGCGGCTGCAAAAGGACTGTTCCAAACAGTTGTATGTCGCAAGTCCCGGATCGATCAGATCCCCTGCTCCACATGCAGTCCACAGTTAATCAGCGCATGCTCCAGGATCACGGCTCGAATCACGACCTACAGCATGCTGTTCGATGGGGTGCTGAGAGATTCGTGGCAGAGCAATGCGAGGACCCGCAGAATGTTCGGTAAGGCTTGGATCGTGAGTGCATGCTCGAGATCGCATTGGGTTCGTTACAACAGCATGCTCACCAAGACGTCCAGCGAGTTTGTCTAGCGAGATAGTTCCCGGCATGTTTCTGTGCGGTACTTCTCACACGGGCCCGAGATTTTTTGGATTCCTAACGTTGCCCCTTGTCTTCTGGTCCTCTGGTCCCCTTGGTCCTTTGGTCCCTGGTCCCTGCTCACAGTAGCTTCATTCAAAACAAGAGCAAATGCTGCATTATAGATTTTGCAACTTGGTAGGGTTGGCCCCGGCCCCTGGTCCACCTGCTCCTCTTGGTCCACTGGTTCTCTTGTCCTGGTCCGCCGTCTTTTGTCCCTGGTCCTCTGGTTTCTTGATCTTCTGGTGCCCTGGTCGCCTGGTCCTCTGGTCCTCTGGTCTCTGGTCCACTGGTCCTGCTGGTCCCCAACCCACTCCGGTCTCTGTTTCAGCCTGCCGCGGGTCGCTGGGTCAGGGGCGTGTTCAGGATATGTGATGAACCTCGGTCGCCACATGAGGGGGCGAGTTTAGGATATAGGATGAACCTGAATCGCCCAGAGGGGGGAGGGGTGTGTGTTTAAGATATATGATGACGAACCGGAATCACCACATGAGGGGGCGTGTTTATGACATATTACGATGAGCCTGAATCGCCACATGAAAGGGCGTGTGTAAGAAGTACGATGAACCGGAATCACCACTTGAGGGGCATGTTTAAGACATATGACGAACTGGAATCGACAAATGATCTGGCGTGTTCAAGATATGCTCAACAACAACAGCAGCAACAACACAATCTATCTGGAGTGTCTGTTAAGTACTCGTGTGTGTGTGTGCACGGAATGCAAAGTCATGTCTGCCCTGTCTCGTTTCTAAGTTTTCGCACGAATCATTCTGGTTCACACATGAGAAGACCTCCCCAGGTGCATCAAGACACCATCGGCAATCCTTCACACATAGCAAGCTCCCCGTCAGTGTTTTGCGCTGCTTTGTCAGCCCCCCACCCAGCTTGTTTAAGCCGCCGTGCAAATTCGCATCAACATGACATCCTGCCAGCAAAACAGTGCGCATATGGATCCTTTCAGAACCCCTGATACGGACATTGTGGTTGCAAATGGGGGGGGGGTCTGAGGGGGCGTGTTTAAGATATTTAATGGCTGCCGCCAATGCCG